TGCGAAGAGCTGGCGCTCAGATTGCTGGCTGCCGGTGCCTCAGTTGGCCACGGGATGTACGCGTGGTCCTCGTTGTTAGTAGCCATTGGCTGGCTGCCTGACTGTTCCGCTTGATCGTTGTTGATCAGACGGTGCATCATGTCACGTAGATTGATTCGATTATCCCTGCTCGCCGAGGATCCGGCTCCAGAGGAGCTCATGGTGGCAAAACTGGAGTTCTCATTGCTGGAGGCCGCATTTGCTCCGAATGCATTGCTGCCAACGTAAGCGCTGGTCGAGACCGTTGGAATGGAGCGCGCCACAGAGAGACCGACAGCCAGAGACTTTTTCTCCACACCACCGCTAGGCGAATCTGGTGGTGAATCCTTGTTCGAGGATGGGGCGCACATTATCACGCATGCATGGAATATATTTCGTGCTCCATCGCAACGTTCCTCCACGACCAGAGCTGTGTCCGCCTGGTCCTCCCTCTCCAAGCGACTGAGGGCGGCAAAGCTATTCTTCACATCGCAGCGCAAGATGTGCGGCATGAGCTTCTGCGTGTCGAAGAGCAACGCAGTCATGCACACTTTGGACTTCAAGTTCACGCCCGAAAGCATTGCTGGCAGCGATATGGTGGACATAGTGATGGACTTCACCGGCGGCAGGTCGAACCACTGGGGATCCTTGATCGAGCCAAGGCAATCCTTTGCCAAGGGATAGAGAGCTCCGTTGCCATCGCGCAGCACAATGGTGCTGCTGTTTCCGCTGCAGTCGTTGTTGCAGGTCATCAAGATGTTGCTGGGCGACGAGCCAATAAAGGAGGCGCAGTCCGTGGGGAACAGGCAGTTCTGCTCCTGCTTGCTGTTATACAAGTTGTACAGGCTGTAGTGGATTTTTCCGAGCACCTTCTTGATCACATGGATGCCACGAGAGTCCACGGCCAGGGTCAGCAGCTGGGCGCCAGCCGCATCGGCACCGACGTTGATTTTCTTGGGCTGTTTCTGCAGCCAGTCGGGACCACGGGTTGACATTGCAGTGCGGAATATCTGGACATCTTCGCGCCGCAGCAGGCGACACTGCTGCCAGTCGTCCTCCTTGCCCTCCTCCTTGGAAGTGGAGGCTGCATTGGAGGAGGAGCTCGCGGTGGCGGCGGCAGCCGCGACTGCTGCTGCTGTTGCATTCATTACCGGAAAACGAACAGCTACAAAGTCTCCGTCGACCTTAAGCACCTTGCCCACTGGACCCACTTTGTCCTCCACAAAGACCACGTCCTTCAGCTGCCACAGCTCCTCATCCTTTCTGCCCTCTTGGGGGGCGTTGGAGTCCTCCTTTGTGGTCACACGCTTGGTGCGCTTGTGAGATGTAACGCTGCCGGTGTCGCTGCAGGTGCTGGATGCCGGTGATGGCGGAGGGGGCATGTCAATGCGGTCGGTCGACTCTTTGCTGTTCGAGAATGACTGGCCATTCTTACTGCTTCCAGCGCTGGGCAGCGCTGTGGCCTTTGACAGATCCTTGTCTGGTGTAATTCCATGGGCATTTAAGTTAATGCCAGCAGCTTGGGATTTCTCGGCTCCCGTGTTGGTGTTTATGTTTATGATTTTCATGCGACACACATCGGTAAAGTTCCAGACCGAATTCAAAAGCTGTCCAACCTTCGGCACGCCATTGGAGCACGTGAATCCGATTGATCCGGACTGATAAATGGGACATTTCTTCATTATCACTTGAGCACCCACATTTATATCGGTGGCAACCACCTTGAAGGGCTTCTTGGTCTTGGTCCGGAATTTATCCCACAAATAGCGTCGTTGGTCGAAAGGCAGCACTCCCCACCAGTAGATATTGTTGCTGTCGGTCTTAACAACTGTGTACAGGGAGCATACGTAAATCTTTGCTATGGGGTCCGATGTGAACTCGTTGAAGGAGCAGGAATTATGCTCCAGCTTAGCCCCAAGGTACCCAAGCTGTTCGTCCATCCAAGTAGCAACTCGATTGGTTTCTGTAACCACCGAGCATCTGATAAAGTTGGCCGAAATTAGCTCCACCCTTTCGGTTATGTTAAGTGCAACAGTTTTCGGGTGATAAACATTGTCGGTCTGTAAATAGGCATAAATATAAAACACGAAATAAGTACAAGTTATTACTTAGTTTCCCGATGTTATCAATAAAATCACTAACCTCTGACTTGTAGGGCTCTGCATCTGACCAACGCCATTGGTATAAATCTCCGCTTTCCGACAATGCAATGAACTCCGAGTACAAGGCGCCTATGGTCTTAAACCTTACGGAACTCTTCTCCGGCCAGGGCTGCAGCTCCTCCGATATCCAGATGGGAGACAGCATTGGTGAGGGCTCTTTTTTCTTGGAATCTATGCGGAAATTCGGGTCAGTGTCGAAACATTCATACGTGCCGCTCGAACTCACCAGCATCCTTTTCCCAAGTGTAGTCGTCTTTGTTTATCCAACGCCGTGGTCCGTAGTACTGACGATCGCGCCAACGACTAAAGGCTTCGCGATCAGCATTAACCGATATTTGGGCTGATAGTCCACTACTTCCTGTTAGAGCTGCGCCAGACGTTGTGGAGCGGGTCGATTGATTACTGTCTGCGGCGTTTGCGTTGGCATTACTGCGCTCACTACGAATGCGGTCAAACAGCAGGCTGGAATTTAGAAAAGATATAAGATTATTTAGTTTGGCTCGAGTCCCTAGATCAAAACTAATGTGATGTATTAAAACGAATTGTAAGTTAACATTACTTACTTGCGAATGCTCGAGTAATTGCTAAATATCTCTTCGGAGAAAAGTCCATCTGAGGGATCAATGATGACGCTGTTGTTATCTCCGCTAAACCCATTATCCAGCAGAGAGATAAGGTCTTCCGGCACGTAATTATCGGCTCCCTCCTCGGTATCTTCGGCTTCTTCATCGTCGCGCGAAAGCAAGTTGTTCACGGCTAAATTTACATCTAAATTGGTGCGCTACGAATGGAAAACAATTGGTCATTCCAAGATCCCAGTTTTTGTTGCATCAGGGCATACCTGTAATTCTCTAATTATGAGATTTCTACTCTTGCCCTGTAAAACCACTTCTGCTTGAGATATAAGCTCCTCCGGCACATATGTGGCCGGAACTGTGACCAGGGGTCGGTTTGAGGTGCTGCCCCCGATAATCACACCCGTGCTCCGCGATCCGGAGCCCTGTCCGGTGGAGCTAGAGCGACCTGTTGCGCGCAGGAGCCGTGCCCTGGACCGGGCCATCGGTCGGGATGAGGAGGGGGCCTTTGAGGCACTGGCCGTGCCCCCGCCACCACTTGTGGAACTTGAAGTAGACCTCAGGTTGAAAGTTTATACACAGCTAAAGGAGATGTCACTTTGGCTTACCATTTGGCGTCTGATTTTGTCAAGTCAAGTTTCTCCGAGTTGATGGAAAAGGACACGCGGAAGGCCTTGCCATCTTCCAGCAAAACACCAATGTGCGTAGGACCAATTACAACTTCTCTCACCGGAATTTTCAGCTGCTCGAATATTCGATGAGTGCCATATCCAAATCTGTTGACCTTTTCCGAAACTTCTCGAATTCTGCAAAGAAAATAAAAAGAGGTGATTTTAGTATACGATGCAGACATGGGGTTTTGACATTTTTCCAGCGGCAAGCAAGTCCGTGCATGCTCTAAAATCCAATTATAGTTAGGATGAATTTCGATTTGACATTTCTTTTTGCGAAGGAAATGGCGATTGTAGGGTTTTTTATGTTTGACAGAAACATAAAGTCAAAATCTAAAATGATTAGCCGGTGACTTGAAATTCTTGCCTTTAAAGATTATGGGTTATGGAAAACACCCTGCATTTTAATACCATGTGCTGAAAAACTGACATTCAGCGAAATGGTGTATACAAAAAGCCATGTGCAAATTATGTTGTTTGATGTAATTTAACCGGAAAGATGGCCTCTATGTACTTTTCAGAAACAGCTAATATTTACTTTAATTTTTCAAAGGTTTGCAAAGAATTAATAGTAAAAACGAACAAATTAATCAGCATGTATGCACATGCACACACACATGCGACCGTTCACATGTCTCACACAGACACACACACGCATATGTACATGGATGTGTAGAAAATTAATTGTGGCTGAAAAATGGGAATTGCAAAGTGCATTTCGCCAATTCTTTGGCTTATGCTTACAGTTTCGCGTGGACAATATTAGATATGGCGAATCCGCCAGTGTCTGTGCTCACATTTCGCGTTAATGACCATGTACATATCTTCCTGCGTATACATATACCTGCGTACCTACATATTTTCACATAACAAATACATGCAGCCGAACGTCCGCAATTACATGGAGATCTGCGTTCACATGTGCGCAATTGGGGAGCCCCAGCTTAATATTTACCTCTCAATAAACTGGTCGTCCGATCCCGGAAGCGGTTGCAAAACAAATTGCATGGAAACCATTTTAATTTTTTAATTATTCATGTACACAGTTTCCTCGTTGAATTTTCATGTCACAAAACGTTAGATCTGGAACAAAAACCGATTTGTGTTTGATGTTATCGATGTTTCTGGAACTTTGGCAGCCATCGATTACGTCATCGATAAAGTTACTAACGCGTTTAAAACGCACTAAAGCGTTTTAGCAAGGATACCCACCAAACTGTTCTAGGGGACTCCCATTCAATCCGAAAAAAAAACATTTCAAAAATTCAAAGTTCCGAAAAAACTTAAATTTGTGAAACCTGGTGGCTTGTATAAACATTTTTAAAAGTGTGAAAACCATAAATTAATCGTTTGTGAAACTGGACTGCTTCTGGTTCGTAGTTCAAACATTTTGAAGTATAAATATTAGGGCCCCACTTAGATTGTCTAAGTATCCACTTTATTCAACTAAATTAATTGTAGCACTCATGTTTCCGTACTAGGAATGAAAAAACTGTTTTGGTTTTTTGTAGAATTTGTTATTTTATTTTCTGGTCTATCAGCTTCTCTTAAAATCTGAAAAGAACAAGAAATTGTTTAGAAAACTCTCGAAAATGTGATTGACTAGGATGTCAGCAGATAAGAAATGAGAAAAATGTAGTCTTACCAAAGCCAAGAGTCCAATTTCTTGACACAAGAACTTACTTCAGTTTGTACACATCGAGGAACAGTACAAAATTTGGTAAATTGAGTGGCTAAATACTTCATATTGCATTTTTAAATTAAATTTAAGTTGTTTATTAATTAAAGCATAATTTAAAAGTTAATTTTTCTTCAATATTTTAATATTGCCTTTATCGTAATTTATTTTTAAAAGTAGTAGCTTCTTCGTTTCTCTTTAAGAAATTATACTTATTTCTATGTATATTTACAAGTATAATTTCCGAATCCGAACCTTTTAACCTAAACAATTGAGTTATCCCGACAATGCATCTAAATAAATACTTTTAATGATACATTTATCGATTAAGCTCATTGGCACTACTTTCGTACATATTAGTGGAATATTCATCCATTGTTAAATGGCTGTTACTTTCGACCAAACCCGAATCCATATTGCTATAGTCCTTAGACGTCTTGCTTAAACCATCACTACCGCAAAAAGGAAGACAACCCATTCGCCCCATATCATTTGGATTTCCCGAATCTAGGGGATTCTCTGCCCCCGGGGGCATACTCGAGCAGTGTTGGGGACAATTGTCGCAGGGGTTTTTGTCGGTGGACACTCCATTGCCAGATTGGCAGGAGTTTGGGGAGGAGGATGGGTCGTATTTCCGTGGCCGCCCTCTAGACAAGTGCCGCCTTTTGACAAACTCATTGTCGTCGACCATCCAAAACGAGCCAAAGTCATCCTCATATCGTACAAAGCACTTGTGCAAGGATAGGTTTGTACGGATTGCGTTCTTCATTAGTTATTATTATTAAATTTTGTTTATTGTTAGTTGAATAAACAAAATGCATTGTCGGGAAGGGAAGGGAAGAAAAAGTTCGTGGAAAAAAGAATGTTAGTTTTTATGGCTTCTTTTAATATTTTCGTAGACTGTCTCTGCAACATGTTGACTCATTTATCTAGCCCTCATTATTTCCATTATCTTATTTCACGGACAGACTTATAAACCAGTAAGCAGACGGACACCTTATAGAGATGATGCCGTACAGTAAGTGCTGTAAAAAATGGTAATTATGTCGTGGTATACATTTATAACCGTGTTTTATAATACTTCATATTTAGCATGCATTTAATGGCATATAGGTATTTACTAACAGAGCAAAGTGGAAGTAAGTTGGAGCAAAGTAAGTATTAATCTATTTAAGACCCACATACCCAATGTTCATAGCTACAAAATAGTTTGTGTCCGGCGAATTGGTAGCACCAGTTAGGTTGTTACCAATGCCAGCAGTGCGCTGCGGTCGTCTTTTGTAAAACTCAATTTCATCAACAGTCCAAACTGCTCCTTTCACATTCTCAACACGCATAAAGCACTTATGAAGGGACAGATTATGCCGAACTGCGTTCTAATGGTGTATATTATCAGTTAGCATTGGCCAAACTTTATTTAAATTAATTTAAGACATATATATTTAAAAATTTGTAACGTTATATTAAACAAAGAGTATACCAACATAAGTTTATCTCAATATCTTACCTTATACGAGATCCCTTATTTATAAAACAACTTATTTATTTTTACTAGGACGTTTGAAAGGAAAGGAATACGAAAAACGGGGATCAAAATAAAGCGGACAAGCTAATAATGCCAATCAGACAAACGAACAAGAAAACAGACGGACAATCGATTATAAACTATAATACTTATTCTAAAAGTTCTATAAGAAAAAAGATTTAATAAATGTTTTGTTTACCTTCCACGTAGCTGCATTCCGTCGAAAGTAACAAAACGTGTTTTGGAACCAATTATATATTTCGTTCAGGGTAAGCTGCTTGTCTGGAGAGTCGATTATGGACTGTAAATTTATTTAAACAGATAATGTTGGATTTATAGAAGCCTCATTTACTTTCATCCTGCCAAAAAATGTATAAATTAAATTACCTGTCTTATAAGGGACGCATAAGTGAAAGGGGGTCGTACATCAGCGTTTTTGTAAAATTCTCTGTTCCGATGAATTTCTGAAATTTGAATTCTTATTATATGTCTTCCAGAAGCACCACTATAGAAAGCAATGAAAAAGATCAGACCAAAATTGTTGCTTACCCTGCTGTACATCAAGCCCAGCTCTTTCAAGCATATAAGGCAATCCTTAAACAAAGAATAATACATTTTAAATAGTTAGTTTATATATATATGGTCTAGAGTGAGTTATGCATACCACCATTGATTGAAAATGAGTTTTTGTCGTGGCTTCTCTTTTTGATTGAGCATAGGTTGGTGGAGTTAACCATTGGTAGATTAAGAGAGCTCGGAGAATTTGTTTGGCGGATAGGTCGACCTATGCTGTTTATTGTGAGCGGACTTCTGCAAAACTTTCCCTCTCTGCCGGGTACGTCCTGAAATCGCCATTATAACCATTTCATAGTAATTTCGCAATTAAATATATTTAAATCTTACCTTTCTATCGATTTTGGTGGGTGATAAAAGTTGCTTAGACAGATATAAGTGATGCATCATTGCCTGCAAGCGATCTCTTTCTTTTTGAAGGTGGGATTCTAGCTGAGAAACTACTTGCATTTGAACTCGGGCTTGAGCGGTTGATCGATCATCCAATCCGTGTTCAGTATTGAGATGCCTAGAACAGTATTGTGAAACCACAACTTTCCATTATAACTTCCCTAAATTTAAGACACCTACTTGACAAATGATGTGATATCTTCCAGATCCATTTCGCAACCGGGCCAGCGACAAATGCCATGCGCAAATAGAGGATGATAGTACTTGCGCATGGCGAATTCATCATGCATGTAGCTAAAGTCATTGCTGCACACTTCGTTATCCTTTGACCTCAAAAACCTTTCGGCATCGGAAAACATGAGCTTCTCCTGTTCCGAAATGAATTCGGGAACATTGTAGAAACCGAGATCGGGCACGGGAGCCATCATATGTTGGCCCTGTATGTGCATGTGGGGATTGGCTTCGTGCTGGGCCGTCGATGAGGATTCATCAATGCTCGATGCCGGGGAACTGCACTTAACCACATGGGATGCAAAGGCGATCGAGCTGTTCAAAAAACCCGTCTGCGGAAAACAGTTATTCTTAACTGCATCTGTGCAAATATCTGGTATGGAAATTTGGTGGCGCGATTTTACTGATATTTCCTTCTGAATAGAGCCCTTAAAGTCGGAGTCCTTTACGTCCTCAGAATATTCGTCCTCATGTATCCGATGCATGTTTTGAACACTGAAATTTATAATCGTTAAGGATAAATCTATTTTATTGAGAAATATGGACGAAACTGTTCTACCATGCTGTTACTTTTCGCATTTCTAATTAATTCCACTACCAGAAGAAACTAGAGGTCCATCGAAAAACCTTTCTAATGATCCTATTTCTCTTCTCTTTTTAGAAGGGCTTCTAACAAGTCATGTATTTTGAGAGCTCTTGGTATACAACGAACATAATTGGCTAGCCAGTGACTTGACAATTAATCAATCAAGTTTAAATTATAATGAATGCAATAATACAAAAATGATCTCTTTTATGTCTATGCTGCTAACTAAAAATTGGATATGTTTTTTATTTTGTTAAATCAATAAGTGTAACTATTGAGAAGAACTAAATCATACAAAGCCTCCGAATCCAAGAGATGTCAACCAAATGATGTGTATAATATTACTTGCCCCAAAATTTAAATCTATCCCTGCTAAAGTGCAAAATTTGACGCTTTGATCTCCAACTAATCGGTGATTACTTACCAAGTTTATTCCATTTGTTTATTTAACAAACCCCATTACTAAAAAGCCTACATTTCTGCGGTAAAAGTCAACCAATGAAATTGCATTAATTATTATTATAAGCACGAGGGAGATCTATTGCTCAAGTGCAAGTTGTTTTGTTTGATGGATGAATATTTAACTTGTTGTTAAATATACAAATTATCAAGAAACAACTTTGATCCGGTTATGCAGGTGAACTATTTCTGTAACGACAAGTGTAATTATAACGGAAATATGGTGTTCATATATAAATGATTGTGTTCGAGGGCTTATATCCTGAAAAGACTTTATATTTACATTTTAAGAAATGGGCCGATACAATGGTATAAACTGCCTTACATGTTAACGGACAAAGCTGACAGATAGACTAACGGACAGATTGATTCACATATAAAAGGACAGTCCCTTGAACTGATTGATAACAGACTGACAGACAGATCGACGGACAGATTAACCAACAGATCAAAAAATTGACAAACAGACTTTCGGAAATATTAACGGACAGACTAACGGACAGATTGCTGACAGACAAAAGGAAAGATTAACAAACGGACAAAATGAAAAAAACGGACAAGGAAATATCAGTTTTGGAAAGGGGTTTAAGAACAGATATTAAAAGGACTTAACGGACATGGGAAAACCCTTTCTTTTTTAATTATCTCAATAATAATATTATTTATTCGCAAAGAAATAATGTTTTTTATGTGCAATGGTTTACCATTATATAGATTCGTGTAACCTGAAACAAAGTTATTTGGCAATATTAATATTTATATTTATATAAGTTAGGGTAAAAATATGCCTGTAAGAAAACATTTATAAAATTCTTAGTAAAATTATAGATATTGGTAAAATCTTAAAGTATAAATTATTATTAAAACTTTCTTTGAGTCAAAAAGCCGTTAATGTTTTCATGTACATATATGTATAAAATGTTCGTGTGAAGACAATTAATGTCCTCGTCATCTTAAGTAGTACGTGTAATTTGAGTATTAATTCCATATATATCTGAAAAATACATGTTGTAACATGGCAGTGAGTATCTTATAGTCGGTGTTCTCGACTCTTTTTTAAGTATGGTTAACTTATACATTGTTTTAGCTTTGTTTATGTGTAAAGTGTTCGTGTGAAGACAATTAATGTCCTGGGCGTATTAAGTTGTGTGGGTAATAAGTGTATTACTTCATTATATTTATACATGTAAAAGATACATATGTACGTTGTAACATATCAGTGAGTATATCATAGTCGGCGTACTCGACTATAGCGTTTTTCTCTTTGTTTAGTTTGTTTAGTCGTAGACTTATACAATTGTTTTTTCTTGTGGTAATCTGCTTGTAGGAATTGATTATTTAAACTCAGTATATGGGAGAATAAAATATATATCCTGTATAAGTAAACAATTTATATATATGTGTGTCAGTATCCGTCATAAAAAGTACAACTTAACAACTTTTTATCCTGGCCTAAAAGTCTTATTAATATACTAAATAACTTAACAGACTAGACTTCTGCTTTATACATACATACACATACAATTTTGCAGACACAAGTGAATGCAAATTTCTATGTGTATTTACAATTAAATAACATTCACTGAAAATTCCAACGAACAAGATATATTTAATAGCAAGGAACATTTTAAATACAATATTCACTATATATAAAATATATTAATTTAAAAAACTATCTTAAGAATAATTTTCGCAGCTACTCCTGAAATGGTACGTCTTTGATTACAGAATTTGTGGAAAATATGAGTACACATTTTTGCGCATGCGTTTAGATGTGCACAATGAAGCCCTTATCAAACATTACGATTTAAATATGCTGCTTCATTCAAAATATTTAGTATTTTATTCTGCCCAAAGTTGAAACGTTTTGAACCGAAATAGCGATCAAACCTCAAACAAATAATTTCATATCAATGATGGATTGAAGTAATTTTTAATTTAAAAATAAACTATATATATTAATTTTTTAAATAAACTAAGTGTTGTTTTTTCAACTCTTTTAGCTTGAGCCCAATAAATATTATGTCACAAAACTAATGCCTAAAAGGGACAACTGTTTTAATTTTAAGATAAACAAGACTTTTGTGTTAAACATTTTTATTGCGGAAGTTTATGCTTTTGTATTTGGTAGAGATAAAATAATAATAAAGAGTTTGCCGGACCATTGCGGATTTCGTTTCGTGATTCTTTCCGAGCGGCTTAGTACTCCTCGTCCTCGCCCAGCTCGGTGGTGGAGTCGATGCCCACCTCCTCGTAGTCCTTCTCGAGGGCGGCCAGATCCTCGCGGGCCTCGGCGAACTCGCCCTCCTCCATGCCCTCGCCCACGTACCAGTGGACGAAGGCCCTCTTGGCGTACATCAGGTCGAACTTGTGGTCCAGACGGGCCCAGGCTTCAGCGATGGCCGTGGTGTTCGACAGCATGCAGACGGCGCGCTGCACCTTGGCCAGATCCCCGCCAGGAACGACAGTGGGGGGCTGGTAGTTGATGCCCACCTTAAAGCCGGTGGGACACCAGTCGACGAACTGGATGGAGCGCTTGGTCTTGATGGTGGCAATTGCCGCGTTCACATCCTTGGGTACCACGTCGCCTCGGTAGAGCATGCAGCAGGCCATGTACTTGCCCCGCCGGGGATCACACTTGACCATCTGGTTGGCCGGCTCGAAGCAGGCGTTGGTGATCTCGGCCACGGTCAGCTGCTCGTGGTAGGCCTTCTCCACGGAAATGACGGGCGCGTATGTGGCCAACGGGAAATGGATGCGTGGGTAGGGCACCAAATTGGTCTGGAACTCGGTCAGATCCACATTCAGGGCGCCATCGAAGCGCAACGAGGCCGTGATGGAGGAAACGATCTGACCAATTAGGCGATTGAGGTTCATGTAGGTGGGTCGCTCGATATCCAAGTTGCGGCGGCAGATGTCGTAGATGGCCTCGTTGTCGACCATAAATGCACAATCCGAGTGCTCCAGCGTTGTGTGGGTGGTTAAGATCGAATTGTACGGCTCGACCACGGCTGTGGAAACCTAACAGGAAGTTTTGGAACCATTAATTAACTCTTCGCCATAAGACTAATTTTCTATGACTCTAAAAAATAAATTAGTTAAGTTTAGACTCACATAAAAAAATTACTTTGTTAGTTCTTTTATCATAGTTAATTTTACTTAATTCAAGAAAAACTATAAGAAAATTCTTATATAAGGAAAACAAATAAATTAATCATGTTGTTAAAAACATTGATAATTGCCCAATATTTTAATAATGATTTAATTTAAAACATATTTATTTTAAATTTTATAAAATTGAATTTTGTAGAAAAGAACTCTTATACCTAAGATGTGCTTGCAATATAATGTGATTTGTGTTTAATTTTAGAGTTAGTGCCAATGTATTTTCAATATTTTTAATTAGGTACAGGTACTTACATAATTAGGTAAAGGCACTTACTTGAGGGGCTGGGTAGATGGAGAACTCCAGCTTCGATTTCTTGCCGTAGTCGACGGAAAGACGCTCCATCAGCAGCGAGGTGAAGCCGGAGCCAGTGCCTCCGCCGAAGGAGTGGAAGACCAGGAATCCCTGCAGTCCGGTGCACTGATCCGCAAGCTTGCGAATCCTGTCCAGTACCAAGTCGACGATCTCCTTGCCGATGGTGTAGTGTCCACGGGCGTAGTTGTTGGCCGCGTCCTCCTTGCCGGTGATCAGTTGCTCCGGGTGGAACAGCTGGCGGTAGGTGCCGGTGCGCACCTCGTCCACCACAGTGGGCTCCAGGTCGACGAACACGGCTCGGGGCACATGCTTGCCAGCGCCGGTCTCGCTGAAGAAGGTGTTGAAGGAGTCGTCGCCACCACCCACAGTTTTATCGGAGGGCATGTGGCCATCGGGCTGTATGCCGTGCTCCAGGCAGTACAGTTCCCAGCAGGCGTTACCGATCTGGACACCAGCTTGTCCAATGTGAACCGAAATACACTCCCTCTGAAAGATAATTTATTAGTTGTTTATGCATTCATATAAAACGGTCTCTTCGTTTCGCCGGACTGTAAATAATAAAGAAATATTTGGAATATCCGGTTGCGTATAAATTAAAAAGAAAATTTACTTTCAACAACAAAGATATTTTGACCATCTGTTGCTAATATAGTTGATATTTACAAGCTTTAAAGCTTAGCAATTCATCAAAAATGATTGACAAGGTATTCTATTTTTTCTATGTTTTTGGCTTTTGGTTTAGAGACCAGCACTTTCCAGGACTTTGGAGGATCCTTAAAACTTGAAAAGACTTACCATTTTGGTAAATAAATTAATGTGAACTTTAACACGGCAGATTTAACGGACGAAAATCCTAGCACTTGTCTGTGATGCGACACAGCTGGGAGTCAACTAACCGAAACTTAGCGATACGCGTTCTTTTATAAGCCCCGAAAGACATCAGTGTGGGGCACACTATATGTGGATGTCCAATGAACTGTGCTCGTGTTCATCGACTTAAGTGGTGCCTATTCGAATTTCAAACCCAACCCACCCAACCACACATGCTCAAGATGTCGCTTCTTGATCGAGTTCTGTTTTCTTTTTTTTTCTTGTGTTTATGATTGGATAGAATTCGCATTGCGTTGTTCTCAATTTGCAGCTGAAAGTTAATAGCAAAATTTGAGATTAATTATCAAGTGGAACATTGTTTAGATTTGGAAAATTGTATTCTAATTTATGAAGAAGTCACACTTCCAAAGAAGTTGGCTTTTTAAGCCAACCGTTTATGTTTCCAATATATGCTAATATTCTTGAGCTCTTAAATTATTTTTGTTTAATGCATTATTTGACTTTTTAAAAATAAAAATACTTATAAAAATATTACTCAATCTAACAGAAATTCTTTTCGTGTGCACTCAACCAATTAGCCATGGACATATTGGGAATATAGACACAGTTTAAGATTTCTTTAGTCCACACCCAGAAAATCTAACAAAAGATCAAACAAAAGAATTTTTCAAATCAGGAAAACTAAAAAAGTTAAAACTAAAGAGCTTTTCTAGATAGCAACATAATACTTAAATATAAACGAAATATCTGCATTTGCCTTGAAGGTCACTTGCTTGACATAAGTGCAAACAAAATATCCTAAATCTCATTAAAAATTTCACTAAAACAATTTGATATTATATTCAAAGCAACACTTTAAGAAAAGAATATCTTAATATTAAAACTCACTTCAGAAACAATATTTTATTTTTAATTTATTTTTATTTATAACTTAGATATTATAATACTGCTCACAGTAGTTTTACGCTAAGTTCCTAATATATATGGTATTTTTAAATATAAGTATTATGTAAGTTCGACCAGTATAAAATTAAATATTTGAAAATAAATGCCGGCCAGCGTTGTGGAAAAAATGGGAATTATTCCTTCTTTCGTAACACTGGTTTAGTTTATATTTGAGCAAGTTATATAAAATGTTTTCATCATCACGAACATATACAGACATTATTATGAATGTATTAAAAAGCTGCCTTGGCATCCATAGAAATGAGCAATTGTTTCATCAAATTAAATTTGACCAAACATACTTTCTGGTGCAGTTGCTTGGAAACACAACATACAACAAAAATATTTAGTTTTACATGACTAATTTAATCGAGACTATAGTTGCCTAGACATGTAGTTAAAAATATGTGTAATCGAGTTGGAATCATTGGGAACTAGAAATAAAATTTGAACAATAATTTTATAAAGTCTTTTCATTTAGTCCAACAAAAACTATGGCCGTACATGAGTCACCGCATACATTTTGAATTATCCTTATATCCCGAAACACGCAACATGTTTTAATTATGCAAAAAAAAAAAAAACAAACAAATTTGTACATCTAAACAAATATAAAAACAACTCAATGTTCTTAAATATCAAACCCAGTCTATAAATTCGTTTGATGCCAGTTAAGTGGTTAGGTATTTTAAAAACTGCTGTAAAAGTATTTGCATTGGCCACTCGTAAACCTCTGTTCCGCTTTCACAATTAAAGTTTTAAAACCTATTAGTTATTTCATTGAATATTGATTTCGTACAACTTATAATTAACAACGTTTAAAACTAACATTTATTTTGGCCGAAAATAATTGATCTCTCCAGAATATTGTTGTCAATAATAAAGTGGTATAAAAAGTTTATTCTATTGAGTTCGAAATGCAGAATACCGAAAATTGTAAGTCCTAATCACAGGGGCGTGTCGAAAACCCTGTGGAATTTCTATAGTCATACGGTGCTGTCGCGCTTTATCATTAATGGAGTTTGGACGGTGACCTCGTCGTCGGAAAGGTTTTGTTCGGCGGCGTGGATGCCCTCGCTGGCGATTCCGATGCAGACCCTTCCGCACTGGGCCTGGTTCATGTGGTGCAGGGCGATGGTTCTGCCATGGGCATGTGGATGTGGCTGTGGCAGAGTGTTCGACGACGAGGCCATGGAGCTGTTGGATGCCAGCGATGGCGAGGGCGCGTGTCCATGGAGCGGCTGCGCCGGGTTGTGGCCATTCACCCTTCCCTGGGGAAAGGTCAGCTGGTGGAACGTGGAGGTCGGTCTCGCCCCGGTGATGTTGCAGTTGTAGTTGTTCCACACATTCTGCGATGACTGGCGCGGCAGGGTGCATTGCGAAATCGAGTTGGAATAGACGTGTGGCGTAACGTTCTGTGAAGGATAATGCCAAGTTAGTTGGGTGATTTTGTATCTTAAAGTGC